AATAATTCTTTTATGTTCAAGATATTTGGTTACTATAAAATTCACTTTGAATTTGAATAATACAAATGGGTAAAGAAAGATTTGACATATATGCTAATGGGAAATGGGGAATAAAGCGAAAACTAAGAATAAACAAGTCTTAACTTTGAGGTCGTGGGATCGAGTCTCACGGAGGGCATTTCATAATTCGGAGGTCTTCTACGGAAGCTGCTCTCAACCTGGTGTTGGGGGCATCCTACTATCTTACCTCCCCTTATCCCATTACATATGGGAACAAGGGACCGCCATATGTTTATTAATTATATTTAGATATAAAATTCATAAATATCGACTAATCTAATAAAAATAATTGATGAAATGATTATATGTACATTTATATTTTATCTATATATGTTTATATAAAAATGGATTTTAACTCTTTAATAATTAACTTTGATGCACGAATTAAGTCACATCAATAGTAAAGGAATTGTTGTTATTAATTGATGTCTCGGATTAACACCAAGAATGTTAAGGGTGTGAGTGTACAATGTTTGTGATCGAGGTTAATTATAGGATTGGTGCTTAGGGGTTTGTTTACCTTATGTTGTAATCACATATTGCATTAATAAAGTTATTGATTATGGTCTTTAATTTACGATTATTTTCATTTTAATCCTATTTTACTTTTTGGGTTGTTTATTTAATATTTCTAATTTAGATTGCTAATTTATTTTACTTTCATTTTGATCCTCACATGTGTACGTTTTTTAAATGTTTGTGATTTTTATGTTCAATTAATTTTTCTTTTCATTTTTGTCCTTTATTCCTGCCTTAGACTGATTTTGGCTGTGTTTGTATTTTAGACTTGAATTTTTACTTTTATTTTGATTAAGCCACTACCCATGTTTAATTTTAGGGGCAGACCTAAATCTTGATAAATTAGTCATTATAATTTCTTTTTACTTCATTTTAGTCCTATTTTAGTTTTATTTCCCTTTTTGCTTATTTATTTCTTATTTATTTTGGCTTGATTATTTCTATTTGTTCATTTAAGTCCTTGATTATTATTTTTAGGCTGTTATATTTGTATGTTATACTTGGAACGCCAATTAATATAGGAGAAAAGTTGTTTAATAATTGATCGTAATGATAAGATATTACAATAAGAATAGCCTTGTGCTAGTTTACAGGCCAGGGATCCAGTCGGGAGTGCAGGGAACTCCGGTATTTGGAATCCAGGTATTGGATTGGAGGAAGGCTCCAGGTGTGAATGTCTTGGCCGTGTTCAAATCCACTTGCTTGATTCCTCCCCATTTCACCCTGCCGTCGGTTTTTGATCCGGGTCCCCGATTTCCTAACTCCACAAAGTATGAAGTAGCCTCTCCCATGCCAGGATGCATCGGAACGTACCCTTCCGGTGCGATGATGTCGGCGATATTGGACTGGATTATGATAACAGTGGCAAGTGGCTTCCATGGTCTATTGAGGTACGCCTTGTTAATGTTCTTCACCGGAATGTAGTCCTTATCGCCGGAGATGGTGCAGTTGTGGAGCACGAAACCACCTTTTGATTTATCGAATTGTTTACCCTGTGCAAGCACCATGCAATTTTGTTTGGGACCTGGTTTCCTCACGATCATCTGGCAGTTCTGGAACACCACCCTGGAGTCCCCGAAGATGAAGTCTATGGTACCGGTGATGACGCAGTCACGGAAGAACTGCATTTCCTTTTGGGGGTACAAGGTGTCTTGGTATCCGTTGAAATGGCAATTGTAGAAGACGCCTAGATCGCCGGAAGCCCTCAGGGCAACGGCTTGTTCACCCTCGTATCCGGCGGTGTTCTCAAATCCAATGTCCTTGGCTATGAAATTCTTAGCATTGACAGCTACAGTTGCGGTGTGGAAAGTTGCGATTTTATTCCTCACAAAGCTAATGTTATTGGTGATGATAGTTTTGGTCGGACCATCTCCGATGAACATAACGTTGGTTGCACTCTTGGGGATATCAACCTTCTCGTTGTAAACTCCGGCCTTGATGTAAATAACAAATCTTTGAATATTCTTTGGTGGTACTTCAGCCAAGGCCTTGACGATACTGTTGTATTTTCCACTTCCGTCTTTAGCAACCACCACGTCAGGTTTAATATCACCTGGTTTCGCTTGGAGGAGTCTCCGATCTTTGCGGCTCATCCATTCGGTGATAGCACCGTCGTCATCCGACAAAAGCCTACGCTGGACCGAGGTTGTGATCTTACCGATGCTTGGGATATTGAGGTCTTTAGCAATGGAGGATATTCCGGCCATCATGCCGAGGGCGTTTTTATTTAACTCCTGTGACGTTTTCAAAATATTCTTCATCTTCTCGGCGGCGGCGCCGTTTTTCTCCGCGAACGAGTCTATACAAGTCTGTTGGCTGGTAAGGGCACCGCTCAGCCACACCTGTATGCGCAAGAGGATATCACCGATCTTGCTGATGTCGTACTCACCGAGCTTGTTGAAGGATGCTTCAAGGTCGTCAATGGCGTAATCCAAAACCTCCTTGCAAACACTGAGAGCATCCTTGGTCCCTTCGTCCTTTTCCAAATCCTGGAGCGTCTTTGAATCCGCCAACACCTTCTTTATCTCCGTTATCGTCGCCTGGAAACCCGTCCTTATAAGCTCCTTGGGGTCGCTCGAATTGGACAATTCAAGGCTCTTTTCACACGCTACTTTGAAATCGGTTGGCCTGCAAACGGACTGCACCGCCTTATTAGAAGACGATGTTTTGCCCGTCTCATCACTCGCAGGGAGACCCATGGCGTAAAACAGGGCCAGCACCGACGCCACCACCGCCAACAAAAAAACAACAATAAAAAGAGCGTTATTCGCCATTCTTAAACAACTTTTCTCCTTGATGTTTAAAACCCTAAGAAGAGCATGAAATAAAAATTCTTTTCCCTCCCTTCCTTTCTTCCCTTGAATCTAAACAAGATCTGAAGAAGAAAGAAAAAAGAAGATTTATTTGCAGCTGCTTATTGAAGCTTTTGCTATTGCTTGAATAATCAGCATTTCCAGTGCCCTATTTATACTTGAAGAAAATCACTACTTTTAGTTAGGGATTTCATTCCTATGGTGCAGAGATCCCTGCGGAGGTGACAATCTGTTGAATGCTTTGAAAATTTGTGGTTAGGGTTTTATGTATTTCATCATATAAGATGAAATATGTAAGCATGCATATACATATTAAGGAAGTGATACTTTAATAATCGTATGTTAAATTCATATTTGAATTAAAATATTATAATACTTTAATATTTTTATAATATTTAAATTTGAATAATTTTCATAATACTTTGGAATTTTAATTTATTTGTTATATACATTATTACGTATATCAACCTAGAATTAATTATAAGTTGCTTTATAAGAATATTTGTAATGCATGACAATTTATATTAGTTAATAATATCAATAATTTCATAGGTTATTATAGAGCTCGCAAGGCTAGATGGATATTAGGTTCTAGGGTTCGGATTCAGAGCTATCGATTGTTTCTCTGAGGCGTATATAAAGTAGCTGTAATACTCCAAAGATTTGATTAGTGATTAAAATGTAAGTTTTTAAAGATTAGTGCCCAAAGTAGAAATCTATAAAATTTGAAGGACCGAAGAGGCACTTTTACCAAAAATAATTTTTATTCTATAGATAAATAGTTCATATTTAAGAATAGATTCTTTATGCAATTCACGTTTCGATCTGAAATTTGTGTAAAGAGCTAGCAAGTGATAAAGTTCGGTAAAGTATTCGGACAATCGAATCGAATCGAAAGTTTACAAAATTTTGAAGAATGGTAGCATGGGGTTTGATATATTGTATTTATGATTTTAATCAGTAGAATTTAAAATGGAATAGTGAGATTAAGTGAATTTTCTATGTTAAAGCTGAACAGTGGAAATTAAGTGACTAAATTGAAATTTTGGAAAACTGCAAGGGATAAGATAAAAATTAATCAAATAAATGTTGATATTTATATGATGATGAAAGCATGGAAAAATGGTAAATACCAAGATTCATTAAGGGTAGAAATGACTTTTGGACTAAAATGAATTTAAAATTCATTTTAATTGGAATTTAACAAGTGTACATAGATATTTTTACAGAAAAATCAAGAAAACTCATTCTTCTCCTTATAAATTTCGTGCACCATAAATAAAAATAAGTAAGACATGTTTTCTTCCTCTTTTTTTTTCTTCATTTTAGTCCTATTTACTTTGATTTTTGAAATAAGTTGTGAAATAGAAAATTGATCTATAACAAATTCTCTACCATTTGATATGAATATTACATGATTTACATGATTGAATCAATTATTTTGTCACTAGAGCGAATGATTAATAAGTTGGATTTTGATTATTTATGGATATATGTTTGTGTTATTAAAGTTATAAAGTTGTTTTCAAGTTTAAATAACGATCAAAATTACTTAGAAATTTTTATATACTATTCGGTCATGGTTAAGATTCATGAAGAAATGAAGATTCTGATTAGTTTTTGTTATGGAAATGATTGAAATTACATGGAAACGTTGTTAGGAAGATGAAATCATGCTTGAATCAAGTTGAAAATCAAGCTTAATACACTTTAATCAGTTAGGCTTAAGGGAAGAAGACAAAGAAAAATTGTGGAAAAATTATACAATGAATGATTCTACATGCTTAAAATATGATTAGGACCAATTTGGAAAATTTTGAAAGTATAGGACTTAATTGCATAAATTGAGAAATATGGTGATTCATGTGAAATATGGTCAGGTGGTCGAGGAAGAAGCATTAAATGCAATATTATTGGGGAAGGAACTCGGTGACGGAGGTTCTCAAGATACTCGAGTGTTGGGAGAGGAAGTGGGAGACTTGGAAGCTTGGGAGAAGGGATTCAAGGTAAGCTCATTGGCGACGAATGATGGTAAAAGCAGCCTGTCGGGAGAAGAAGTTGAGAATGTGGGAAACAAAGGGCGGCTGCCAATGTCTCAAGATAATAATAATAATAATAATAAATTAATTGAATCAAATCTATACACGTACACAAAATCAAATATTCCCAACCATCAACAACCCAAAGCCTGCCACGTGGACTGTCTCGGCAAGGTAAAAATCAGCCACGTGGCGAAAACTTGTTTCAGTGAGTCTGCTCAGCTCAGGGTTTGCCGAGTCTCATCTACACCTCGCTCCATATCCGAGTCAGATACAGTCGCGTTTATTGGTGAAGGACAAGGACTCGTCCCACTGCCTCTCCTGTCTCTACTCAGTATCCTCTTAAACGACAACATGCGACCAATCGGTGATTTATAAGATTGACTCGGCCCCGAGTCACACCCACTCGACTCACCTACGGAACCTTCGATGTTCCTTTTCGGGACCTCGATCGACAACTTCCTCCCTAACCCAACTGCCGACTGGACGGCGAGTTCATCCTCGTGCCGACACGAGGAACAGAAGTCGGATCCTAGATTCGATCCGGATTCCCCGCCCGACTGTTCGTTAATCGTAATAACAAAGTCTCCCGGGTTCTCGGACACGGGTACCGATTCTTCAACGGAGGTCCGACAGAGAGGACACGTGGAGTGAGAACGAAACCACATGTCGATACACTCCGAATGAAAACTGTGGTTACATCTGGGCAAGACCCGACCCGATTCACCCTCCTCGAATTCCGACAGGCAAACGGCGCATTCAAGGACGGAATCCGGATGCGTTTGAGAGGGGAAGGTGAAGACTGGGAGCGACTTAAGGACACGCGCGTCGAGACCGCGTGATGGAGCGGGAGTAGCGTCGTTGTCGACGTAGAAGACGAGTTGAGATCGGCGACGGCGGCCGTTGCGGGAATGACGGCGGCGAGCGCGGAGAAGGTACCAGCGGGCGTAGATATGGAGAGCGAACACGAGCACCACCACGAAGAACAAGACGACGGTGGCGCTGAGCATGATTTTGCCGCTCAAAGCGTAGCCGCCACCGCCGTTATTGTTGTCGGCCGCGGCAGGAACCAAATTAGCAGGGCTTCTTCTGATTTCATCGTTGTTTCCATTCATGGCTCTTCAAAGCTTCTTCTTCGGTTACGTAGATTCTTCTGTTTGGCTAGTGAGAAATTGAGAGGAATATAAAAAGGAAAAGGAGGGAAAGGAAAGGAAAGTTCTCGACGGTTTCTTAGGCTTTGAAATTCCTTACACCTGCTATTTCAGTCTACCAGCTTTGACGCGGGATTATCTTAAATTACTTCAATGCCCCTCACCGTTTAGTGAAGAACACTAATCCAACATTATACTAAAATTCGAATAGAACATCTATTAATTAATTGATTGATTAAAGATATTGATATTATTCTATTTAATTTAATATTAATAATTATCTCAAAAAATTAATATCTTTATTCGGTTAAATTTGATTAAAATCAGTTATGAATCTATTGGGGCGGGTAGTTAGTGGTCGAGCGATGTGGGCGGGTAAGATCTCAAACCCATCACTTACCCACTACTCACGTTGGGTATGATTTTTTACATCCACATCCGGCTATTACCCACTAAACTTATATCCATCCCCACCACAATCGGAGCGGGTGCGGTGTTAAATCCACAAACTTATACCCGTCTGACATTCGTAGTGTATACTCGTTATTTTGAATAAATTATTAAATATAGTTTAAAATATTAATGGGAGGAGAAAGAAAATAAAAAAAGGGGTATAGAAGGTAAATAATCCTTTAACTATAGGAGAAAGAAAATAAAAAAGGTAAATAATCCAAATAAGATTACTAATGGTTGCTTAATGAATTGCTCTTTGAATAGGATTCCCGTAATTAATAAGTGGGTTTTATACGTAATTAATAAGTGCAATTAATAAGGATAACTAAAATTTGAAGAATATTTTTTGATCGGTTAAAGTACATTAGAGGTCATTGAACTATGTTTGATTAATCATTTTAATTATTAAGTTTTTAAAATTATCAAAATGATCATTATAATTATTGAACTGTTATAAAGTAGATATTAAATTTATCAAACTTCTGCACTTATTATAATATTGCAATGATATTTTGTAACAGCTTGATAAATTTAATAATTTTTTAACTTTCAAAAGTTTAATAACCAAAATGACAATTTATATATAGTTAAATGACCTTTGATGTCTTTTAAATTGATATAATTATAATCTTTATTTAATGTTCAAATATTTTTAATGGTAATAATTTTAGGAAAAAAATTGGATTATTTTTCATCAAATAAAATAGTGAAAATAAATTATATCAAATTAAATTACAGTTGTTAAATTTCGAATTTAAACATAATAGAAGGACCAAAACTACAATTGACCCAAAAACATTATATTTTAAACCATAACTAAAAGGCATAATGTAAAAAAAGTCCGTTGAATGAATAGTGTATAATATTGTTTATTATAATACAATAAAAAATATGTGATATAAATAAATTTTTATATGTTATAAATTTTAAAAATAAATTAAATCGAATGCGTCCCCAAAACGGAACACAAACTCAAGTTTAGTGACTATTTTGAAAACAAGTGGAATAGAAGTAGCAATGGTAATGGTCTAGATCTCAAGCTCGAGCCCAAAAACAGGCTCAAGCTTCGATATCTGGACCAGTTTACGTAACCGAGAGCCGATGCGGCTCGGGTTCAGCCACTCCTTATGGAATCAGTAGCCGCACATCTTCAGGTCCATTGGAGACTCATATTTCAGTCTGAGGGAACTTAACATGGAGCACCAAGCAAGGGCTTCCACCTCTGCAATGCCTATATATCTGGTCACTTGAGGAATCATCATCATCAGATCAAGAACCCATTTTTTTTTTGTAATTTTCAAATACAAGTGGTTGGAATCATGTGGGTCAATTGGGACAAAATTTGGGTACCATGTGATTTTGGTCCATGTAGGACCATAGTCATGGGAATGCAAATTTGACCTAATAGGTCACTCGGCTAAAAAAATTAGTTCATTAAGTTATTTTTAAATTATTTTGAGATTTACGATAAATATTACAGTACAAGAAAACTCGTTACATCGACATTATAAATTTTAATAAAATATAATTTTTTATTAGATTTTATCACATCATAATAAAAAGTTTAAATAAAATAATATTTTTAACGTGTCGAGTTTCCCACATATTGTTACATTTATTGTAGATCTCTAAATAATTTGCTTGATGTTGTATTGAGTTAAATAATTAACTCACCTACAATATTGGGTCAATTTCGTCCATGCGAATGACCCTAAACCATGAAAAAACATTAAATTTATTTTTATCTAAATTTATTTTTTTTCTAATCAAATTTTTCATTCATAAAATATATATAATTCATTCTAAGTTTGAATTTTAAAAAATATTTTTTTATAAAATCAAATTGAATTAAAATTTATCACATTCAGATGAAATTTTTTTACTATTCTGAATTTAATGATGAATTTAAAAAAATTGGGTTTTTCGATCGAATTGCTAAAAGCTCTAAATTAAGGAGCGGTAGCAACGTCATTTTCCCCTTCGAAACCGAATGCACTATTCAAATCAAACGTCACGGGTTAAATTTTGGTTCCCGTCCTTTTATTTTACAGAAAATTAGAAATCAATCCATCAATTTTAATTTCTTAGAATTTGGTCTTTCACTTTATTAAGATTAAGATTAAGATCAACAGTAGATAAATTAATATAGGGATGTTCTTACTTTAATACTAAGAATAGGAAATTAGAAACTATTGTATTGGCTCTAAATTGAGGTTTATTGCCAAGAGCTACCGTCACTAGGGCATTCATTTCATATTCAACATGAGGAGCTCCGGCTTCTCGATGAACCGTTTCCACTCGTTGCAGAATCTCGCGACGGTTGCTCCGTCCAGGACTCTGTGATCTGCACCTATGTTAACCTGAGAATGGAAGGAAATATCATATCGGATATCACCGGATTATTTCATCTCACCGAAGAGAAAAGCTCATGGATGGTATGGTATCGGTGAAACTTACAGTCATGATTAAGGATGAATAAATGTCTCCGTCATCTGCCACTCGTGGAAGTTTCTGTATTCTACCCATTGCGATGATGGCTACTTCAGGCAAGTTAACGATGGGGGCACCGAATTTTCCACCAATGGCTCCGATGTTGCTTAGTGTTATGGTTCCACCGGATATATCATTGGGACTGAGCTTATTATCCAGCGCCAATTGTTGTAACCGCGAAAGTTCCTTCGTAATCTGAATGCATGATAATGTACATGAAAGCACAGCTAAGAACAAGAAGTACGAGAATTACCGGCAATATGACGATAACAGAACTACATTATTCAATATGAGAAATCAAACGTAACGAACCTCCAAGATAGAAAGAGACTGAACATTCTTTATGTTTGGCACCACTAAGCCGTATGGAGTGGCCATGGCAATTCCAATGTTATGGGAACCTGAAATAATCAACAGGAATATCCATGAATCGTGTCGGGAGAATGGAGGCAGAGAAGCAATCGAGACTGTGATACAATGTATGAAACCATACAAGAAGACAGCAGCCTCTAAAACCATTCATAACGTAAGGTTAGGTGATCGGAGGTAAGAAAAAACGAACCAAGTAAATCTACAAACCTCGAATGATTACTTCAACCGACTCTTCGTTGAAGCAACTATTCACCATGGGATATTTGCTCAATGCCATCGAAAGTGACTTTATCAATATTGGAAGGAACGTGAACTTTATACCGGGTTCAGAATTGTTGGTTTGAAAAGAAGCTTTAAGCTCTGCAAGTGCATCGCAATCAATCTCTTCAACATAATGAAAATGCGGAACCTTAGCAGCCATTGACATCGTTCTAACCATTGTCCGCTGGAAACCCCTGGAGAAGAGAAAAAGCATCATCATCATAATGCTTTCGGTGCAAACTTAGTCGGTCAACTTGCAAATATATCCACAATACGAAAGAACAGTTGACCATTCGTAAGACTGTCATCAGCAATGTCATAGCAACTCTAACTCGGTATACAAAAGATGAAATTCTAACGCCAGTGCCTGTCAAGTCAAACTGCAAGTCGACTTTTAACTTGAAATTACAGCCTTATGGCTAATTGCGCTCACATGATTGCTAACAGTGGTTGCACGATGCTCTTTCTAAAGCGATTTTTAACATTTTGACCATAAATTAAAGGAATACGTAAGACATTGCTCTATGCGGATCATATTTGGGTAATAAAATTCCACTAGATCTAAAGTACACATATATCCATACTGCATACCTTAAGGGGACTATCGTATCCTCATAGTGCCCTGAAACTTCCGCTGACACGCATGGAGAACTCATTTCACCATGTAACAGTTCTCCGAGATCAGCAGTAGCAAATAAACGACCGGTCTTTGATGATACCTGTCTGCGCAGCATATTTAAGTACATCTTCTTTTAATACCCTGCCGTCTTTGCCACTTCCTTGGACATCATTAATGTTTATACCATGTTCTTTTGCGAGATTCCGAACCGCAGGTGTGGATAGGATCCCACCAGTACAACCTTTGTTCAGTTTAGTATCGGAATGTTTTTCGTTTTCCAAATCTCCGAGTATCACCGATGGTACCCGGCTTTCCTCAATCCGACTTTCCTCAACCGCCATCTTAAGCAGAGTTTCCCCGACCTGCAATTTTGTTTAAATCGGAAGCATCAGACATCCTCGTCACATTCTACGTATAAACAAGTAAACACACACAGATTCGAGTTCTTCCTTTCACAACTGAACTATACTTAAAGCATCTCTCTATCTCACAATCGAATCTTGAGAAAATTCGATGTTCAGTGGAACCATGTATTTGAGGACTACCATACACTTGCCAGCAACCTTCCATATTCAATAAGCCGTCCGATTCTTCAAGAACCGAGAGAATCACATAACAGAATACCATCACAATCAACATAATGTCCAACAAACAGGCTCGAAATTAGCCGGCTATTCTTACCTTTACAATGCTTCCAGGAACGTGGAGAACTTGAGCAACTCTCCCTTTGTAACGACTGGTAATCTCGATCGTTGCCTTGTCGCTTTGAACTTCGCAGCAGAGGGGTTGAAACTCGTCAACTTCATCCCCCTAACAAAAACAAAAAATTAACAATCAAAGATGAAACAAAAATTAAGCTGAATTCATTGAATCTAAGCACAAATATTTAAACCCTAACTCACCTGATGAACGAACCACTTAAGCAGCTCACATTCAGCAATTCCTTCACCAGTTTGGGCCAATGGCACATCGACGATTCCATTCGTCGGAAGATCAGCCACCGCATTACTCGAAAAAAACTTATATTTATTTTCCACATATGGAAATCTTAGCTACAAGAACAACAATAATGATCGAATTAATTAACAATTAATAACAAAACCCAAATTGCAAATCCAACAAAACTATCAAATTAGTTACTTTAATTCAAAATTTTGAAGTTGAATGAAAATTGGGTCGATGAAAAACAGCTCACATTGACGGAATTATTGATGGGCGATGAAAACGAAGCATAAACGTGGGTAGACAACTGACGTTTGCAGTACTCGATCGTCTCCGACGACGGCACCGGACACGGAGCCGATGACGGAAACAGCCATCGGCGACCGTTATTCCAGACTCTCTTTTGTAAAACCCTCCTGCCGATCATAATTCTCCGGCGTTAAATTTAATAAAAAAAGGAGATTTTTTTTAAAAGAAAATATTTTGTTTCTAATTCAGACAGAAGTGCGTGTACTGACATTCAATTTATTAGCACAATATATAAATATTATTATAAAAATATATTTTATATTAATTTGATTGAAATTGTTATTATTATAATATTTTTATAGTTTAAAAATTGGATTAAAATTTAAATTATTTTTAAATATTAAATAAATTATAAATAATTTAAATATGCTATAAAAACATGTTATACAAAATTAATATAATAAATATTTTTAAATAATTTTCTAAGAAGTTTAATATGTAGTATTATTTAAAGAAAACACGTAAGTGTGAGGGGGAAATATTTATCCAAAGGAGATAACGTCAAAGAGTCATTGATGCGGTGGCTATGTTGATCACGTTTAATTTTAGGGTAAATTACGGTTAGTGTCTAAATTATTAGTTTTAATATGTTTTAGTACCCACTAATAAAAATTTAACGCATTTAGTATCTAAATTATCAAATTTAATCTATTTTAGTACATAAACTTTCAATCTTTTCAAAATTTTACATTAAATTTTGAATATGGATATTAAAATGAAGTAAAAACTAAATTTTAGGTATGATTTTGAAAAACGTTGAAAATTTAGACACTAAAATAAACAAAAAATGATAGTTTAAGTACTAAATGCATAATTTACCCTTAATTCTAATCCAAATCAAAAGTTTTTTATACCCATGAATAAAAGGGTAAACTACTTGAATGACCAACTAACTACAAGTTGATGTCGATATGAACACTATTTTCAAAATTTTGTCAATATGACCACTTAATTATTCAATTGGTTTGAATATAATTATCTTCCGTTAACATTTGACGGAAGCGCTTACATGAAAATTAATAAAATTGATACAATTACATATTTAATCCTTAATATTTGTACATTCAATCAATTTGGTTCTATTTTCAATGACATCTTTGGTAGAATTTAAAGCAACAAAAACAGCACTTACAAGTTGGGCATAACGGGCCTTAATGAATGACCTTAATGGGCCATTCTAAGAAGACTCCCCAGTTGAACTTTAGTAACATAATTTCTAGGCCCAAAAGGTTTAGAAGTAGACCATGATAATATTTTTCATTTTCTATGTTTTTTTAAATTAATCACTGGTATCCGATCTATTGACCAATTAATCCAGATCGGGCACTGCAGAGGCGAGGGCTACCCTCCCAACCCAATTTGCTCTATTTGCAAACGCCAGGATTTGAACCTCTGACCTTATTTGAGGGACCTAGTGTCACGTCCCACTAGACCAACTGATTGTTGATATTTTCTATGTTTATTTAGAATGATTATTTAGAAACTACAACCCTAATAATATCTAAGAGTCAATTCATTGAGCGATCTTAGCAATAAAAAGAATATTCTTTTTAAAAGTTTTAGGTCCGAACAGTTACGTCTGTATGACGTTTATATATTATCAATGATTAAGAGAATATTTAGAATAAATACTACCTTATAGTCATCTTACATTATTCAATAATAATTTAATTCGTTAATATTAATTTACTATTTTATTTCTCGAATTAATGTACCACTAATTCTTTCTTGAGAATAGATAAACCCTAACAACCTGTTTGGATCAAGGATTTTTACATTCCCGACAGTCATAATTTTTTTCTGATTAAGGATACTAATGTTTGATTGGGTAAGATTCTCAAGTGACAGTAATATTTTAATATCAACAGTAAATTTTAGTTTATTCCTGAAATGTTATTCCCGTCCTAAGGGCTAAAATACTCTTCTTTTCCCGTGAACTTGCCTCTGCGCTATATCTTCTTCTCCCCTGAGCTTGCCTCTGCCAAAAATTCTTCTCCACTCCAGTTTTGCTTGGGGAGGTGGTGGTTGTAACTGTTGCAAGTGATGCTAATGGCGGCCTTCTCAGCTACGATATCCGGCTCCTCACGCTTCCTCTCATCTACCTCATTGCCTAAGTGGAAGATCCCTGCTTCTTTTCCTTCTCCTCAATGCCGCTCCTTTCCTCTTCCCAAGCCTTTTCCTCTTTACAGGTTTTCAGTTTTTATAAACTCTGTTTGGTTCTCAGGAAATGATGCTTATTCCTGGCCAAATGATAGCTATAATGCGTTATTTATCCATTTATCTCTTGTTTTTCTGCTCTTTAAGCATGTTTGAAGTGTTTCTACCTTTTTAATGTTTTTAATTTCATGGAGGTAAAATCGATCTGGTCTTATTTCGATTATGATTATAAGTACATAACTTAGATGCAAGGAGATAAAAAATTGGACAGCGGTTGTATATAGATTGATCTTGCTCCCAAATTTTGACTTGATATGCTTGTTGCTTATAAAAAATCTAAGAAAGAAAGAAAAGAAAAAGAGATAGGAAGAAGTGTGAATATATTTATATTGTTTATACTTTTATGAATAACAAATGAACTTTTTAGTTCAATATGGATCGATTGTGTCTTTTAATTTATTTTTTATGGTTGAACTTTTTGCTACTTTAATTCCTGTATTTATGATTACGGTCGTGTTTCTAAGCAAATCTTGAAAACCTACCGACTTACTTCACTGTGATGAGTGCTTTTGAAGCTTTGTGCCTATGGTGTTGTAAGGACCTTAATGCCTAGAGCCTCTCTTTTGCTATGTAAAACTACGGTTGGAGTCCTTGTAATATAAGCATAGGCTATTGATGTGTTGAATGCTCAAATATGTATCCACAATTGAGATTCAGCCAATTCAAACTCCAATACTAGGCTAATTGCTTAATGAAAATGTGGACCCTTGTTTTCTTTCCCACCACAATATAAATTTAAACACTTAAGTAACTAATATGGAGGATCTGGGTAATTTTTTTGGACTTGTCATCAAATAACCTGTCCTTTTATTTAATGAAATATGAGGTACTCTTTTCTTCATTCCAATATTCGTTAACATACTTGTTAGTATGTGGACGAATATGAAGGGAGTTTTTAATGAGACCTCCATTTTTTATCAAAAAATATTTTACTAAGACACTAATTTCTCTTATTATCTATGTATTCCAGATTAAATATTGGTTCTCGGTTGGAAAGAGGGAAGTCATTAACTATCTGTGCCCAGACTTCAGTATCAGGTTTGTTTTACATGTAGTTCTCTTTCATGTTTTTAATAGCAAGTTTTGGATTCATTTCATATCTTTACTCTTGAATCTTGTTTCAATTTTCTCTCTGGTATCTATCATTGACGTATCTGCAATTGCTATCTGATATAGTCATTATCTAAGACGAACTTCTATGGAATTTATTTGTTGTGCAACTTATGTATTTTATCCGTGTGTATGCGTCAATGGGTATTGGAATCTCTTTGTTCATTGATTTAGGTGCTAGGCTTTACTAAAATCATCTAAATGTTAATCAGTTCCAGAGGTAATTTTCTACAGCTTTGACGTTGGACTTCTGTTTCTTTTACCTTGATCCACTTTTGTACCGCATTTAGATTTTCCATGTATAATTTCCTTAAGAGAGAGAGACCTGGAACTACTCTTGTCTTCAAAACATAAAGAGTAAAAATAAAATAACAGAACAAAGAAGGAAATGATGATGGTTTTTTAGTTTTTAATTTAATTTTTGTAATATTGTTGCTATATTCGCCCGGTTTTTGTCTCATCACTACCTTAATAATGCATAAGCTGAACCTATGGTTTAAATTTGACACTATGCAATTTTTTCGATTCCACTCCAGTAAATGTTGAGACTAAATTTCAGAGATTAAACTATATGGATTGACTTTTATATGTCATTTGATCTAGCGAATTGACTAGTCCGTCTTTTCAACCAATTAAAAATATCTGCTGGGATAAGCATTGTAATTAATGTTGGCCTGATTTACATGATTACATATATCAAATATTTGCTTAATCAAATATTCTGTAGGTTTTTTACTACTGGTTATTGATATTTAAAAGTTACATCTTTACTCTCTCTCATTTACAGATATTTCTGTAGAGAAATCGATGGATGAAGTAAATCTTCCCAAGGGAGACATGTGGGCTGTCCATAAGTTTGGGGGCACTTGTGTTGGGACCTCCCAGAGGATCAAGAATGTCGCAGATATAATTATTAGCGATGATTCAGAAAGAAAGTTGGTAGTGGTATCGGCCATGTCTAAGGTGACAGATATGATGTATGATGACCTTATCAACAAGGCACAATCAAGGGATGATTCCTACATCTCTGCATTGGATGTTGTCTTAGAAAAACATAATTCTACAGCACTTGATTTGCTTGATGGAGATGATCTTGCTACTTTCTTATCTCAACTGCATCATGATGTTAGTAACCTCAAAGCAATGCTTCGTGCAATATATATAGGTTGGAACACTCTCTCTGACCTCTGTTCACATCTTTTTTAGACCAAAATGAGTTGGCTCGAACATCGCCTGCAGCTTAACATCGTCTTTTAAATAGTAGCTATGGATTTTTTTTCTTTTCCTTTTTCATGTATGATCATTCTTTTTCCAAGCTTAGTTCTATATGTCTTCGAAATAGAATCAATCTTGGAACAGAACAACTCTGTTTTTCAAGGACATGTTAATCTTCACTTCACTTCATTTCATCTTTTCCATAACTTCTTGGCTCAATGTCTAGGAAAATAACAACCCAATTGCTCTTTTGCTTACGATTTGTAACAAAGGGTATTCTTTGTTCTCTATGATTCATAAACACATATTTAACAGTAGTAATTAAAATAAAGTGGTTTTGTTGGCCGTCAGCGATTCATCTATTTAGAATGTAAACCTTGTCGATTGAAAAATACAAGAAACCTCTCAGTGAATGCGTCACGTATAAATCGAAGCTAATTTTCACAATGTAAATATTTAGTTAAATGTTGATGTAAAATTTTAATATATTTTTACATAAATTATGTAAAATGTAATATTAATTAAAATTAAAATAATACATGATATATTTAAATACTCAAGTAATATATTATCAACAGATAAAATTTTTATATAAATAATTTTTATTTAATATTTAGACTTTCACTTGTTTCAAAATATAGAACAATGACAATTTGGTAAAATATACATTCCAGTAATCTTTTATTCATTCTACCAAATATTGTAATCTTATATTCCTGCCAAACCAACCAAACACAGTAATGTAACATTATCAGTAATCCTATTCCCTGGTAATCTTTCGTGAATTAAACCCTAAAAGAAATAGATTCAATGGTGAATCAAGAAGGTACCTTTATGTCCCCTTTTAGTTCCAACTCAATCATATTGGACAAATTCTTGCCAAGTCGCCATCACCCAAGGACGTTCTTTGTTTTCTTCTTCTCTTGTTTGCTTCCTTTTGGGGAAAAATGACCATAGTGTTTTGATTAATTAATTGTTTTAAAATTCGTTAAGTGATTTCAGTGATTAAATGAAATATCGTTCTTCTTAAAAATTTTGAATTTAAACAATTTTATCTGCAGGATACGTATGTTTTTATTATAAATTGGTCAAAATGCTAATAAAAGGAAATAAATTGCTCTAAATTAATAAAAACAAATAAAATACATACCAAACCCAAACTTAGGGGTTGATTGTTTGCCTCTTAATAGAATGATTCAGCGTTGAATGCTGAACCGTTCAGCATTCAGCACGTTTGTTTCGTACTTCTGAACGATTCAGTGCTGACTGATTCAGCAAAATAGTATTGAATGATTCAGCACAAATGTACATTCTGAATCATTCAGAATCAGTTATCAAACAACATGTCACATTCAGAGCCAAACCATTCAAAGTCTCTGAATCATTTAGTATTTGAATCATTCAGTACTTAATCATTTAGTATCTGAACCAACATCCTAGTGCCTATCCATTTACTTTATAATAATAAATTATGTTATTATATGTAATTAATATATTATTAGCTTTTATATTGATGGTGAAATGATTTTTAATTTTACAAAAAGATAATTAAAAAATCGTTATATATTTTATCTATTTATGTTTTTGTTATATTTTTTAAATTATATTTAATATTATATTTTTGTTCTATTTTGATCACTCATCATTAAAAGAATTGGTGATGGTGACATCTGTAGGTGAGCAAAATATAATAAAAATATAAAGTTGGATATGATTTTGAAAAGATACTTCCAATTACAGACGCAATGAAGACTGCATATGAAGATTGTTCAACTACATATTTTATTTATTTATTTAAACATGTATTGCATTTTATCTTTATTTTTAATTTTTTGACTGTCGGAGGTCTTCCACGGAAGCTGCTCTCAACCTAGCGTTGGGGGACAACCTACTACTCTACTTCTCTCTTATCCCATTGTATATGAGAATATGATTTTGTTGTTGTTATTATTGTTGTGGGTTATCTTGTACCAAATACTATCAAATCCTTTTATTAATTAATTAAGCCGTCAACTATATTTTATTCATCAATAAAAATAATAATGATAATGATGTGTTTCATTGCTCATACATGCATGCGTTCATACATATAATATAACATAATAACGATGTGTAAGTCATAAAAAAAATATTGATTCGTCAAGCGGTTTCAATGGTTAAACAGAGTGTTGTTATCCTTTAAATCTTAGGTTTAAACAACTGTGTTCGCATAATATCCGTATTTTGTCAATAATTAATAAAGATTTTCAACATATTCATAAAAATGAAAGTGTATATCCTTTGAGAAATAATTTGTATTTCTTTTCATTCCGTCAAAGAATTTTACGTAGAAAAAACGTATATTCTTAGAAGATCAATCATTTAATACGTGTAAATTGATAGGTGAGTTTAAAAGTTAAAAATTATGATTTTTTTTAAAAAATCAGATAATTTTAACCATCAATTACACTCATTCATAGATTATAAATCAAATATAAAACTCTCTAATTTTTATATTATAGAAATAGACCTTACATATAGTATATATATATATATATATATACATATTGTGAGCGTAGTAGTGTTTAACGAGTTGAGCAGCTCGAACTCGACTCGTCAAACTCGGTAAACTATAAATTTGAGTTGGCTCGACTCGAATTCAAACTCGACTCGAGACCTTAACGAGCTGAGTCGGGTAAGTCTAACTCGACTCGATAAGTTCGCGAACAACTTGTTAATTTTTTAAAATATATTTTTAGTAATCACTTCAAATTATTTTCAATTAAACATTTATAAATTTATTATGGCTTCTTAATGAAAACTCTAACTTTATCTCTGAATGTGGTAATCCCATTTGGAAATTATGGCGACTTAAGACCAGTGTAGTCGAGTAGGGCGAGTCACATTCGTTGGGTGTATCATCTTTGTCTTCTTTTAATGCATTTGTAGTAATTTCAATACTTATACTTTTTATACGTTTATATCATTGGAATTTATGAAGGCTTGAGTAGTGTTGCCTTAGTTTAGGTTTTATCTCATTTGACTTTATTCCTTCTCGTAGCCTGCTAGCGTTGAATTCTGTGTATACTGCTCTTCATGTTTCCTCTTTTTAATTTTGGCCGGGTCTTACGTTTCTGTCTATATGCAAATATTTTTACGCAGGGATTTATTTGCAGGGATTACTTCCAATTACAGACGTGCATATGAAGACTGCATATGAGATTGTTCAACACATATTTTATTTATTTATTTAAACATGTATTGCATTTTATCTTTATTTTTAATTTTTTGACTGTCGGAGGTCTTCCACGGAAGCTGCTCTCAACCTAGCGTTGGGGGACAACCTACTACTCTACTTCTCTCTTATCCCATTGTATATGAGAATATGATTTGGTTGTTGTTATTATTGTTGTGGGTTATCTTGTACCAAATACTATCAAATCCTTTTATTAATTAATTAAGCCGTCAACTATATTTTATTCATCAATAAAAATAATAATGATAATGATGTGTTTCATTGCTCATACATGCATGCGTTCATACATATAATATAACATAATAACGATGTGTAAGTCATAAAAAAAATATTGATTCGTCAAGCGGTTTCAATGGTTAAACAGAGTGTTGTTATCCTTTAAATCTTAGGTTTAAACAACTGTGTTCGCATAATATACGTATTTTGTCAATAATTAATAAAGATTTTCAACATATTCATAAAAATGAAAGTGTATATCCTTTGAGAAATAATTTGTATTTCTTTTCATTCCGTCAAAGAATTTTACGTAGAAAAAACGTATATTCTTAGAAGATCAATCATTTAATACGTGTAAATTGATAGGTGAGTTTAAAAGTTAAAAATTATGATTTTTTTTAAAAAATCAGATAATTTTAACCATCAATTACACTCATTCATAGATTATAAATCAAATATAAAACTCTCTAATTTTTATATTATAGAAATAGACCTTACATATAGTATATATATATATATATATACATATATTGTGAGCGTAGTAGTGTTTAACGAGTTGAGCAGCTCGAACTCGACTCGGTCAAAACTCGGTAAACTATAAATTTGAGTTGGCTCGACTCGAATTCAAACTCGACTCGAGACCTTAACGAGCTGAGTCGGGTAAAGTCTAACTCGACTCGATAAGTTCGCGAACAACTTGTTAATTTTTTAAAATATATTTTTAGTAATCACTTCAAAATTATTTTCAATTAAAAAATAAATCTAAATAATAATTATTAATTTATTAATAAATAAAAATAATAATAAGTTAACTAATCTATTATTTTTTAATAAATAATAAAATACTATTAATTAATAATATTATTTTAATAAAAAAAAACTCAACCCTAATATCCTCATATAGTATTAGTAAAATTTATTTTTAGTTAAAAAAATAAGGTAATTTTTTTAGTGAGCTTAACGATCAACGAGTTGAGTAGCAAATTTTTTTAACGAGCACGAGTCGAGCAAAATTTTAACGAGCAACAAGACAAGTCGAGCAACAAATTTTTTTAATGAGTACTAGTCGAGCACTGTCCAACTCACAATCGACTCGCTCGATAAACACCCCTATGTGGGCGTATTAATTTTTATGGTACAATTATTTTATGGTATTGTGTCAAATGTTGATAGACCTACTTAAATGCTTTTCTTTTATTTGACCTACTCACTAAAATAATTAAAATTCACATCTTTTGGTAGTTCAACAAAATAAATATATGAAAGGTGGACTTTTAATTCTCCTTTCTTAGTTTATAGAAAGTCTTAGTTTTAGGGTTTTTACTAGTTTTCAATATATGTATATATATATATATATATAACATTTTTAATTTTAAACAAATTTAAGACCTTTAGATGAGTGAAAATAGATGGTTAAGATTAAAAGTAGAAAATTTGAGGATATTTACTGGGAAAAAAGAAGTCAATTAATCTTGTATATCTCTATAATACAAAATTCGATTTAGTTAATTAATAAATTGAATATTGGTAGATAGTTATA